CTTAAAAATGAGGGCACCATTAGCACTGTAGGCAACAATATTTCCTTGTACAGGACTGCAGGTTGATTAGGAAGGAATCTTGGAAGCCAGGCACTGCCAGTAGCATATTCCAATGACAATCCTAACCAAGAAAAACACTTCTATGACTTAATTTCCAAACATCTTCTAGAATAATACTATCCCAAATTTAAAAGATTCCTACCAAAAAACAAATTACAGATGGAAGGTGGTGATGGTTGCACAACAATGTGAATGTACTTAATGCCACAGAACTGTACAATTAAAAATGGTTAGGATGGTAAATTGTTATGTCCATTCAACCAATTTTTAAAATACCACACACGAAAATAATCATAGTTCTCTACTGACATAAGGAGAAAATGATTTCCACCTAGTACCACAAGGAAGGTAAAGGCAAAAAAAAATCCTGTTTGGATCTATAAATGTAAAGTCTCTTATTTAAGTAAAGATTAAACAGAGTTGTTTCTCTTCTCATCTTAACATCAATTATCCATGGTAAAGACACCAAGATACCCTGGAAAACTAAAAATATATAGATCATCTATATCACTATGACTTTATACTTGCTTTATTCAAAATGGCACAACAGAGCATATTAGTTGCTAAATGCTTTCATTTTTTAATTCTATTCACTTTGTTGAAGGAATACAGTAAGTATACACAAACTGTAAATATAGAATATGAAGAGCCTATTAACTAAGTCAGAAAAGGTCAAAGTAATTAATGGAGCTTTGCTGTTTTATTTTCTCCTAGAAATTGGCATGGCATCAGCCTCTTGTTCTATTTCTGAATTCCTCTATACTAGGCATTTCTATTAGAGATTAATATTTAATAGCTATTAGTACAATCCCAGAGCAAAAACTAAATTTTCCCGAACTTAGAAACTGGGTCTACATTTTCTCCAGCAAATTTCTTACTGCAGGCCATCACTAGGCACAAATCCCTGAATCAAAACATTGTCAACTTTTCTAGACATCTGCCCATCTCTTCTCTAAGTACTAACAAAAGTGAACCCATGCAGGCACAAACCACAGAACATTCACAACTTAAAAGGGAAAATCTAATTTTAGATCCAAATTATAGATTTCTTAAAGTATTTCCAATTCAGTTATTCTATATTCTTACAGTCTTTAAATGTGTACCTTTCCTTCAACATAAGCTGCTTAAATAGGGGTATAATTCAACTTAATATTTTGTAATTTAGACACTCAGATCACTAATGAACTGATTTTAGTATCAGTTCCATGTTTTTCGCCTGTCTATTCTACTTAGTACTAATCTAGAATTACCATTTACAGATTTTCCCATCAAAACCACTTAGGAATACACCATATAGTCATGCAAATGGGCTTCAGACTAGTGAATCCTAGTTTCCCTATAACTCACTGGTATTTTTTAGGTCTCTGACTCCACATCTGTAAATGAGAGTTCAATAGATGTCCCTTCCAAATGATTAGTCAGCTTCCTGCTCTACATAAGTTCTAGAAAAAGCAAAGGGAAAAATACTGTTTCTGAAAGTTCTATAAGTAAAGATATTCTTAGCTTCCAGCTTCCACAACTCTTACTTAACTTGGTTTCTCCCCTTGCTAATCCTCTGTTTTAGCCACTTCTCTTAGGTTACTAGAGATTTGGTCTAAGCCTGGTTTTCTCCCTCTGCATGGGGAAAATATACCCCCTTGGGTTATCTCCATACCAAATATAAGTGCCTCCTTTTATCATTTCAAAGAGAAATGCAAAAGTGGGCTACAATTACCCAATTCAATTCTATCTCCATCTGCAGTAGACACTGGACAAATTTATCTAGCTGTGTAAGAAATTTCCGTTTGAATAAAACACTGTTTAATATACAGCTACTAGTGTTTAGAATATACATTTAAGATTACAGAGATTCTTTAAAACTTGTTTCCTTATTGAAACTTCTGACTGAATATGCCTGCCAGTTTAAAATGGAGGGATCATTTAGCATGATAAATAGATGATTCAAATTTGTGATTATGTTTCAACCTTTTTTCAAAGGTATGTTCTACAAAACTGAATGTTAGTTTTCTACTTAACAATCATGATTTTATTATTTTCTTTCTTTATCCCCATGGCTTCTGGAACAAACCAAACTTGGTTTATGCCACAAGAGCATATTTACCAAAGCACCTGACTGTATTATGGTATTAGTAAAATTCACTTTCAAAACCACTATGTTAAAACTCATCATTACACAAAGCCTTGGAATTACATATTTTGGGTGACTTTTATTTAAATCTTTCTGAACTTTAGATTTCAAACTTTCAAAAAATACCTGAATGAACAAGTTCATTCATCTGAAACAAATACTTGGAAAAACTTAGGATACCTTCTTATAAACCCCTCAATCACATTATGTTCTTTCAACCTGTTATAATCAAACAAAGAATTTTTTAAAATAGTAATTGTTTCTGTTTGCAGGAAAGAATATGTTCTATTCAAGTGAAACATCTTTTTAAAACTGTGTGTTTATTATAATCAAAAAGCATTGACTGAGTTCCCCAAAAGAAATTCTACTTGCTTTTGCAGAAATTGGTAATTAATCAAAGTCCATAACCTTAAGAAAGCTGACAAGACTGATTTTCAATCTCCATTAATCTTTTCATTATTAATTCCATAGCAACTAAGATATTTCCAACTGAATTATTTAGAAATCCACAAAAAGCTGCTCTCTTTAAATTTTCAAGTTTCTAAAAGTATCAAATTGAAATTATATCATATTTAAAAGTTAAGTTAGACACAAAATATATGAAAGCAACTTAAAAAATCTTGGGATACACTTGCCTCTACAGGCAATTAGATATATTTTTTCCTAACAATATAAGGCTAAAAATGGAAAATAAGAAATCAAATCTTAGGGACAGATGGACCATGCAGAAAAATAATAAGCTAAGTTACTAGCCCCAAAACCAGTGATACATGAGGCAGAAGACCAAACAGAAGAGACCAGTTAGAATTACCCAAATGTAAAAAAATGAAGCATATAAAATATTAAGGCTAAAAATAAAAACCCACACATTTATGAGAAATTGGAGGGAGGTATCAAATCTAAAATCATATCAGACCTCTGTAATACAAAACCTCATTTTAAGACTATACTGATTGATCTCTTATTATTGAAGTTTACCTATTCTCAGATAATATTCCCTGATAGGGTGAATAGCAAAATAAAAGTTTGACTTTTCACCTCCTCTAAACACTATTACAATGAATAATTTTCTACCATCTTGAAATTTTTCAAAGCTTTTTGAGAAACACACACAAATAATTTGGATTTAGTCGATTTTATTTACAGCTTTTTTGTTTTTTTGTTTACATTTCAGAACATTACACAATTACATTTTCTCATTTTCTGACCTGCAAACAGATACCTTAAACGGAAATTATTTTTTTTAAATTATCAAATTAGGTACATCCAAAATGCAACAATTACACATATGACAATTAATTCACAAAGTGTAATTTACTGGGACGTATCCTAAGAATTTAGGAACAGCCAGTCAGGAGAAATCTGACCAAATTTAGCAATCAACTATTTACATATCCAAAAATCAAACCTATCTAAACTCCCAAACCAGAGGCTTGAAAGTTTTGTTCAATCGCCATTGGACAAAAGAGTGATGATTCAAACCTATCCAGTCTTGACAGTTTTAGTACCAAATACTGGGCTATTCCCCAGTCTGTAACTGAATAGCAAGCATCTGTCAAACACCTAAGCATCAAACTTTTACACCATTATGCGCACAGAAAGGCTAAGTGTTCATTAATTAAAAAACAAGTAGTCATTAAATACCCACACTATTCTCCCAACTCACCAGCCCTTACTGCAATCCCAAATATGCAACCTGTGTCACATAGTGACAGGCTATAGTTTATGTATGTGTGTGTGTGTGCACATATATATATACACACACACAAAATATTGGATACAAATGGCAATTAACAGTCCCTACAAAAATTCACTTTCAGTCGAGGCTACGGCTCCTATGCCTTGGGATGGTTTTGGACTTCAAAACTGAAAAATACTGCTAAAATTTCACTTCTTTAAGACAAAATTTGATTGCATGTTCAATTTAGGTTTCTCAGTCTAAAAATGGCTATAAGGTAAGTATTAAAAAAGGCAGCCAACTGAGTGCAACCTCTCTTTCCAATTTGGCCAAGCTACTTTGTAAAAATTATTCCTAACTAGAGTAGAAAATCCGTGGTGACTTCCAGTGGTCTTGCCTACCTTACTGTCCATGTTCACGTTTCAAACTGTGTCAACAAAGCCCGCACTTCGGGGGTCAGCTGCTTGGCAGCCTTAGCTGCCTCTGTGATAGCCTTGCGATACAGGCCCTTTCTCTTCTTATTAAAGCGTGACTGGAAGTTTTCTAAAAAGGGGGAGAGTTGCGAAAGAGCAAGGAAAGATGTTGTTGGAGACCCAAACCATGAAATACGGGCCTCCTGTCGGACTAAAAGGCCGTTATCTTTCCGGCTCACAGTTATAGTAAGAATACGGGCTGGCCACCAAGGGAAGCCATATATCTTGGCCCAAACAATGTCCCCTACACATATGGTCCTGCCATCTGGTGTGACGCATTTAGAGACGTTTTTGGAAAAGACTTTCATTTTCAAGGAATTACTGAGCTTTTTCTCTTCCTTTGAAGAGGAGGAAGTGGAGGAGGTGGAAGGTGCATGCATACTGCCTGGAGGAAAATCAAAGCTTTCAGAAGAGCTACACTCAGAGTTGGAAGATTTCAAATCATCTGTGCTATCAATGCTACACACTGAAGCACTGGAAGAGTCAGATTTCTTTTGATTTGGGGTCATGTAAACAGAGATATTGCTTTTGCTGCCCTTTTTGCCCAATGTCTGTGGTTCATCCTGCTCACCAGGCACATGCACTTCATTTGTGTCCTGAACCTCACTGCTGGCCTCTTCAGGGCCTTTTGAGGGACTCTGATTTTCTGAAGGGGCCTCACCTGCTGAGCGGGTAGAGGTGCAACGAGACTGGGGCTTGGGTGCCATCTTGCCACTCCGCATTTTCTCAAGTCCTGTCTTCAGAGAAGAGTCATTTTCTTCATTCCTGTACCTCTGTGGTTTTAAACGAACCCGGGGTGGCAGGGAACCTGAGCTAGGATTCTGATATCGACGTGTGAAATGGACTTTTGAATGTGCATTTTTGGAAGTAGAGGTTTCACTTTGCTTCTTTTGTGCCTTTTCTTTGGCAATTTTTAACACTTCCCGAGCTTTTGCATGATCCATGTTCTTACTCTGGAGCACTTTTTTAGTACTTAACTGAGCTTTTGATGTATTTGCCTGAGCAGAAACTTTTACGACTCTGCCTCTGCTGTGAGCAATATTTGAAACCTTAACCACAGCATTTCTTTTCTGGCTTTCGTTTTGGTTTTTCCCATCCACTTTATGGTCAGTTTTCAGTTTTTTGTTCACAGTAGTTACACTTTCATTTCTCCGTTTTTTATCTTCATATTTAGAAGAGTCACTTGCACTACTACCTTTTCTAATTTCCTTTTTTTCAGCAACAACACTGTTTTTACATTTATCACACAGGACTTGCCTGGGTCGTAGTTTAATAGCATTCATTATTGAAGTGGGTTCTTCCCTGTACATTTTTCGTTTGGGTCGCTTAATTTTCCGAGGAGGTGGCTGAGGTATTGATTGGTTATATGTGTCCCTGATAAACAAAGGGGGAGGATAAGGTGCTCCTTCATGGAAGAGAGGTGGTGGTTTGGAAGTCCACAGGCTTTCAGCCAAGCTCAGCTCAGGAGGCGGGACAGGAGAAGGGTCATCAGGAACAGCACCATTCACTTCACGCTTGACTTCTGTCCCTTCCTGGAATGTATTACTTTGGAGCTGCATGGCTTCCGGTTTATCCTTATATTCCCTTTTGGGAAATACTGTCACAGGGATACCATGGGGCCCAAACCTTTAAAAGAAATGAAAGAAAAAAAAGAAGACATTAAGTTAACATCTATAATACAACTTCTTAAATGTAAACAATACCTAACGTTTACTTTGGGTCCTACATTTTTGGTAAAAACAAATGGTTGCCCTAAGCAATGCCAGAATAGCTGACTTTACCTAAAATAAGTCCGTCTGGTTCTGAATCAGAAAAAAATGTTCTCGTGGGAGTGGGTGGGAGGAAAAAAAAAGAAAAAAATGTTCTCTCAGATAGCTTAATAATAAACATCATGTGACAGTATACATTTTCAGTAAATGCAATTATAAATTTGTGACATACATACATACTTCCCTCTGGTTATAACAGCTTTTAAAAACTTCAGAGTAAATTCAGCCTTAACTGCCCAAAATTACTGAATCAGTAAAATCTCATCTCAACTTTATTGGTTAATTGCTAAAGATTCAACGAAATGTTGCTCCTTTATTCTTGCATCCTAACTCTTAAGCCTCCTATTTTGCCCCCCATAACCACAAAAATACCAGGGACTCAGAAACTCAAATTACCTCCAAAGTAAATAGGTACAGAACTGTGGCTTTCAAATTTTTAAAATTATATCTCACATTAAGAAATATTTCCCCATTGTACCCCAATAAAAACATTTATGTATGTATACATGCATGCATAAATACACACATTTAAGCAAAAGTTTCACCACATACTTAACATTCTATTATGTGATACATAATGATTTTTTTCCTCCTCTGTTCTACTTCATTTGTTTTTTTGTTTGTTTTGTTTTCAAGACAGCATCTTGCTCTGTTGCCTGGGCTTAGAGTGCAGTGGCGTCATCACAGCTCACTACAGCCTCGAACTCCTGGGCCCGACCGAGTGATCCTCCTGCCTCAGCCTATCACAGTGCTCAGAACCCAAGGATTGGCTTCAGGAAGTCAGTCAGGTAAAACCCCAGAAACTAGATGCAAATGTTTTGTATATGTCTGTTTTTACAGAAAACAAGGCTTTGATTCTCAGATTCTCTAAAACATCATGTTCCGCAAAAGGTTCAGAATACCTTTGCTGGGAAGAAATCTTGAGATTGGGTACTAACAGCTGCAGACACACCTACACTTCAGCAAGGATTTAGAAACAACAAATATACATCAGGTATTTGGTTTCTAACATCTAAATATTTTTCTTCCTATAGTCTTTGTTAGCTTGGCTACCACAAACCAACAACTTAGAGCAAATACTTATAAACCATAAAGGAAGAGGAAAGCATTTTTTACTTAAGGTAGGACAAGTTTGGGTGTGGGCTAGTCCAAAGAGGAAAGGTATCCTCCTTATTATATCAGACTTCACAGAAAGTTGCTTTCTTGTTTGCTTCCTGACTACTTAATTGGAAGGCACTTTGAGCATTTAACCTTTTCTTGTACGGTATACAGGTGTTCAGGTCAGTATCTACTATTTCAAGATGACAAGACAAAAGAGGTGATTTTTGTCTTTTAACATGGAGCTATGTTAGACAACATGACTTATCTGAGGTGAGACCACTATTTACGTTAATAAAACTTTCTAACTCATAAAATGCCATCGTTTTGCCCCATTAAATTTTCACAATATTTCCATAGATGAATAAAGAAAAATTCCCTTCCTTTTATTAGGAATAACTAAACCATAATTATCTTAATGCTTGACATGAAGTTTCACAGCTGTCTCTTATCAACTGTTTGTATCCCCTAAACTTCAGTTTTTGCATGTGTAAAATGAGCAACACTGTTTCCTACCTTAAAAGATTCAGGTAATAAGATAAATAGGCCAATGTTAGTCATTTTTGTTGGCTAAAATTTACTGTATTTAATTTATTTTATGTAAGTAATTTTGATCTCATTTCAAACTAATACTTTAAGAGTTTAAGGTTCTTTCCATAGCTTTAATTTATATTCTGAATGAGAGGATAACCCAAGCCAATTCCTTTAAAGCTGTTCATATCAAGTAAGTTGTGGAATCTGATATGTTTATCTATGAAGTTCAAAAAGAACCTTAATATTTCACAACTGGATTTTCCGCTTCTTTTTTTTTTTTTTTGAGACAAGGTCTTGCTCTGTTGCCTGGGCTAGAGTGTAGTGACATCATCATGGTGCAGAGCAACCTCAAACTCCTGGGCTCAAGAGATCCTTAACCTTCCGAGTAGCTAGAAGTATATGCGCATATCACCAGACCTGGCTAATTTTTTTGTAGATCAAGGTCTCGCTATTTCCCAGGTGGTCTCAAACTCCTGGCCTCAAGTGAACCTCCTGCTTTGGCTTCCCTCACGCCAGATTACAGGCACGAGCCTCCATATCTGGCCTGGATTGTTTTTTTCTTCCTTTCTTTTGCATCATTTTTAAATAGAGACAGGGTCTTGCTATGTTGCCTGGGCTGTTCTTGAACTCCTGGGCTCAAGCAATCCTCTCGCCTCAGCCTCTCCAGTAAGCTGGAACTACGGGCAGGCGCACATGCTACTATACTCAGCTTGGACTGTTTTCTTAATTTGCCTTTCCCTCATAAGCTTACAAAATACTCAAGCATTAAATGTTTTTGATAAGATAGGGAAGTACCTAACTGTGTAATGATGAATGGAATTGTAGGCTACCAAAAGGAAAGGGGAGAAAAAAAAAATAAACCAAACTGATAACTGTGGGAAGTGAATAACTGATGAAGCATAAAAATACTTCTAAATAATAACAAAACATCTTCAAAGGACTAGAAAGATAAATCACTTTAAGAGGAAAAAAGGGACTGTGCGATTAACATGCCCTTAGTCCTAGCTACTCGGGAGGCCGAGTCAGGAGGATCACTTGAGCCCAGGAGTTTGAAGTTGTACTGAGCTATCATCACACCACTGCACTCCAGCCTGGGCAACAAGGTGAGATCCTGTCTCTAAAAAAAATAAAAATAAATTTTAAAAACTAGGAAAAGGGGAATCACATGTCCTTGCTTCATCTCAGTAATCATGCTGTTACCCTTACATGGAGGACACTTAATACCTAGGACAGTGTTATCAAACTGAGGATGGAGATATTGGTTATGGAATCAATTTCAAGAGTCACACTATGATTAAAATAAAATCAGTATATACGAACAGTATAAGTATTGCTTGGCATTCTGCTGCAAAAGAAAAAAAAGAATAGTAAAAGTAAATATCTGAAACTGCAATGAATCTGTTTCATGTATGTTTATAAGTGTATATGGATGCAGATGTTAAACTGATTTCTAGCTATGCTAAAAAGTCTAAAAACCACTAACCTATGAAACTGATAACAATTATTAAATAGCAACAAGGACTGTGGTCCGTTAAAAATCCGAAATCCTAATTTCTCAAGTACAATCTGTAAAAATCTTCATCACAACACCGTGGAGTGTTTGAAATGGAAATTCCTAAGCTCTGCCCTAACAATGAATCATTGTTACAGTGGAAACCAGGATCTGAATTTTTAGCAAGCACCTTTCCTGTAACTTTTCTAAGGTGAAAACATTTATGTCCCATGTGAACGGCTCACCAGAGGACAAACTTGAGCAAGAAAGATTTTAATGAGCGCGGTGGCTCATGCTTGTAATCCTAGCATCTGGGAACCCGAGGTGGGAGGATCACTTGAGCTCAGGTGTTCGAGACCAGCCTGAGCAAGAGCGAGACCCTGTCTCTACTAAAAATAGAAAAAATTAGCTGGGCAACTAAATATAGAAAGAAAAAATTAGCATCTGGGAACCCGAGGTGGGAGGATCACTTGAGCTCAGGAGTTCGAGACCAGCCTGAGCAAGAGCGAGACCCTGTCTCTACTAAAAATAGAAAAAATTAGCTGGGCAACTAAATATAGAAAGAAAAAATTAGCCGGGCATGGTGGTGCAAAGCTGTAGTCCGAGCTACTCAGGAGGCTGAGGCAGGAGGATTGCTTGAGCCCAGGAGTTTGAGGTTGCTAGGAGCTAGGCTAAAGCCACCGCAATCTAGCCCCGGGCAACAGAGTGAAGACACTGTCTCAAAAAAAAA